CCCCAAAACCCCAAAACCCCAAAACCCCGAAAGGCTAATACTCAAGAAAAATAATGAAATTTTATAAATATAAATTATAAATGACAATCCAATCAGTTGTTCCAATAATTGATAAAAGGACACGAATGAGAAGTACTCTCTGGCTCCTATTAGTATTACTTACTTAATCCTACTGCTCCTAATCGGGCCAGTACCATTAGGTTGGAGAGTCAGCAATGATTTTAGGTTAAAGAGGGTAAGATTGTGTTGGCCAGATTTGCTCAGATTCGAGTGAGTAATAGAAAATCCAACATCAAAGATCTCATCATATTGGACAAAAATAATAATAGGAACAAAACATAATCTTGTCCCAAATGATTTTCAATGAGGAGTTTCCTCAGGATAATTTATCCATCATGCCTGAGTAATATCTGGGTTTGAATCAGATTTAAAACTAATTAGATAATATACCAACAAATAATCTTCAAGAAATACAGTACTAAGAGCAAAATAATCTATGATTAATGAAAGAAAATACTATTTTCTAAGAAACGACCCAGATTTAATCAATCTAGTCAGATTAAAATCAAATAAATTTACTATTACAAGAACCATCATAAAACTAAATAACTCAAAGAGATATCGATGACATCGATAAAGCTAATGCTCTCTTAACCTATAATATTAATAAGGACCACTTCAAGTCCTCCTAAGTGAGCATCCAGTTAGCAGATGAGAATATTCTAGACGTTTAAATAAATTAAGAGGATAAATTAGTGGTTTAAAACAAAGAGGTAATTAACTTTTTAAAATTTATTTCGAATCTAGTATCTTAATTTTATTAGATTTTTGCTGCCACTCATTTATTTTATCCAACTTTTAATTTGTGGTATATTTAATTCTTTTATATAGGTGCCTATCTCCATCAAGGACATTGTAAAGAATTCCATAGTCACTTTACCTGATCATATTCCTAATGTCTTGTTCAGTAGCTCTATGTAAACCCAAGTCTATGTACTAGACTACCATGATGATAACCTTGGAGCGAAAAATTTGAATCAATTACAATCAATAAAAATATAGCCAAAGACTCAAATAAAGAGAAATGAATTCTAGAGCTAACAAGGAAATGAGAATAGATTTTACTACCATTCAAATTTATACTAAGGAGAAGGTGAAGAATGCCCTAAGGAAGATGAAAATTTTGAAAATAAAATTGAATTTTAAGAATCACAAAGCACTATAGTCACTAAAATAGAGTATCATCTCACTGCTGTAGATCGCTTTACTGGTCAGATCTTGTTTAATGTTACTAAATCAGACTATTCTCCTCATTTCAATCTACCAAATAGATAAAACTTCATAGGATACCAAGAATTTCTAAAAAATCAAAATTCTTAAAACTAATAATAATCAAATTCACAAGAATATTAAAATTCAGCCATAAACATAATCATTAAAAATAGTTAGGAAAATGATTCTGATGTACAGGATTAAAAAGATAATTAGTCCTAGGATACTAGAGTTTAAGAATAATCAGCTCTCATCGTATATGACGATTCTCTGATAATACAGCCAGATTAAGAGGAGAGACATATTAAAATTGAGGTTAAAGAGGACAATCAATTCCTACAGTTACTAAGACACGTATTTTATCTGATTGGCTGCAAGGACATTGATAATACTCAAATCATTTTGGGGTTGCTGCTATTTCTATTGAGTGTTATTATCATCCAATAGATGCAAATTAGAATTCTTAAGAGAAGAGAACGCTTACAAGCTCTGCAGTCTCAGCCTACTCCTCCAATGACTAGTCTTTATGTTAGTTAGACACCTCAGATCTAATCATCTAAGCTAGAACTTATTGATCAATCTTTGCTGAAGAGTTTTTGCGATGATAGTCATATGAAGAGCAAGTCAATGAAGCTCTATAGCTAGAAAGGGTAGGAGTAGATGAATGATGACAGTTCATCAAGTGAAAACAGCAAAAAAGCATTCCAGAGATAACCATCAAAAATAGCTTTAATGCTCTAAAATGCAGCTAGTGCAATTTAAAACAAAGAAGACAATTAATTGAGTTAAAGTAATTCTGAAGATGGTGGAATTCCTTAGGTAGAATTGACAGATAGATCTATTTAATCTAAAGCTGATGATCCATTCTTCAGAGTTGGATAAGAAGCACATGCAGAGAACAATGACATGCAACTTAAACTATATAATCCTAGCTAATAAGCTTAAATTTCGCTGTTCTAAATTAAGTCTGACAGCATTATTGAGCCAGAATAGACGGAACAACTTCAGGAATTAATCTTCAAATTTGAAGGTGACAACATTGTCAAAGAAGAAGTTTATAAGTAAAGAAACATCTATCCTAACAATCAATAAACACGAGAGTTTCTAGGACATGAAATAATTGAGAAAAATATTCAAATGAACACTGATTTGAATGCTGTATAATTGAAAAAAGCATCAAGCAAAAACTCAAATAATGCTGGAAGTAAGAATAGAATCTCAATCCCAGCAATTTCAAAACTACAGACTATTAATTCAGAAGATAGCTCTCTCAATGATTCTAATCATATATTCTCAAACAGAATGAGGGAAAATTCAAGTGAAATGGAAGATTTTAACCCTCTAAATAAAATTAATAATATACAAGAAGTAAATTTTCAAGTTAAAAAGGTTATCAATAAAGAAAACCCTTTAATGACTTAACCAGAGTACAAAGTTTAGTTCAAAGAATATTAGAACTCAAATGACAAGCAAGACACTAAAGATCTGATAATTAGCTCAAATTAGAAAATAAGCTTCTAGAAAATATAATCATAAAGTTCATTTAAAGCCCTCCCTTCAATCCAACATTACGAGCAAACTTAAGCATTAATATCTAAATTTTTGGAGAACGGTCGCTTTAAAAGATAATTTGTAACTATGGATGAGTTAGGAAGAGGCGGGTTCGGTGTTGTCTATAAAGTCAAATATGCTTTAGATGACAACATATATGCGATTAAGAAAATTAAACTTCACCTAGGAGTGGCTGAAACTCTGTAAAATCACAAGGTTTATAGAGAAATTTAGGCCATCACTAAATTAGAGCCTAAAAATATCATTAGATATTATACATGCTGGATTGAAGGTTTAGATGAACTAGAGCTTTAAAATGAAAAAAAGTTTGTTGAATAAGTTAAAAAGCAAAATGTCAAATAAAATGTGTAAAAAAAGAACTTAAAATAAATCAGAGAATCTCAGTCAAGCCTTTCATTAAGATCAACAAATGAAAGAACTATCATTGTTACAAGTAAAAAATAAGCTAAAAATGGAAATAAATCAAAGAAATTATAGCAAAAGAGAGGTAAAAAAGAGAACAGCCTGATATTTGGTAACTAGTCTATTGACTCATCAGCATTTGATTAGGATGATGAAGATCTAGAAGAGGATGAGGAAGATTATGAATGCAATGATGACGAAAGTTTAGATTATGATGAAAGCTTTTTAGATGAAGATGAAGACTAGTCTATTTAAGATTCTGAAGTCTAGGATATAGTCTCTAATATAGAAGAGAGTAAAAGAATAGATTAAACTTAAAACATATATGATGGAGGATCTATTTCTATGTATACATTGCAATAACTTATTAGATAAGAAAAGCCTTATATATCACTTAATCTAATGATATAAACAGAATACTGTTCAGGCTAGACTCTTAAGGACTATCTAATGAAGAGAGGTTCAAAGATTGATAGGCATTATAACTTCAAGGTCTTTTCTTAGCTTGTAAATGGTGTAGCAACTATTCATGATGCAAATATCATTCATAGAGATCTAAAACCTGAAAATATATTCTTAGATGAGCACAATACAGTTAAAATTGGAGATTTCGGGCTAGCCAGAGCATTCGATGATGCTTTTATGATTCCTCAAAAAAGTTTACTCAATATCATGCAAAAACAGACTTCATAAGACCAGTCTGGAGCTGTAGGCACTCCTCTTTACTTTAGTCCAGAGCAATTATAGTCTCTATAAAATACAAAGTTAAAGGTTAACTATGCTGATCTTGGAGAGAAAATAGATATTTATTCCTTAGGTTTGATACTTTTGGAGTTATCATCGGATATCACAACTACTCATGAGAAATTAACGTCCTTCAACTTTGTAAAAGAAAAGAGAAAGCTACCTCCAAACAGTAATCTTTAGGGAACTGTTGAAGGTGACTTAATCATGAAACTAACATAGATAGCTCCAGAGAAAAGGCCATGCATTTAAGATATAAGAGATGAATGGCTGCCCAAATGGCAAGTAAATCTCCCTAAGTGAATCACTCATCGAAGTGATTGCCTAAATAGTATAGTGAAAAAATAGTATTAAAAGTAATTTAAGATAAAAAAAGAATATGAAACTTAAACCCATACACTCTCTTAATGAATCTATCCCTGGGGTTTTGGGGTTTTGGGGTTTTGGGG